GGCACAGGATCGGGAACGTTGGAAGCACTGTCTGACGCGTCTGCCGCCGCGACCCGAAAGGAGAAGCGGCGATGGAAGATGATGAAGATGATCTCTTATTGTCACAGCGAAAACATACAACGCAAAGAATCATAAATACGTTTCTTACTTTACACTGATACTGCTGTGGCGCAAAAGAGATAAATATCTTACACCTGCTAGTACTGCATCATTGCACCGCCCTTTCGCTTCTAAACGCTTAGGGGGACCATTTAAGCAGGCCACGGCTCCATAGGAAATATTAAAGATTTTAATATTTTTGGCTTTTATTCGTGGCTTACAACCTACGTTGATTTCCGGTCGGATGACAAAAGGTCAGAGCCGAATTGCAGTCTTACGGTGCATGGACCAGTAACATTAAATACTCATCGTACGTTCTGACAAATGTAAAATGCTTTGTTATAGCTCAAGCGAAGAAAACCCTTGAGGTGGATCGAATTCCCTCAGAGTTAGTTAAGTGTTAAGAAAACGAAATGATAAAAGAATCTCCACGCCAATGGCACTATACTTATGGAAGCGGTGCAAGGTGATAATTAAGCAAACATTTGACTTCTAACATAGAATATTCAAAAATCGAAAACCAACAGAAGATAGTTACGGAGAAATATTTGAGGGCCTACAACGAATGCGATGCATAAACGTCATCCCTCTGTTTGAGGGAACGAATGCACACCCAAATGCCACCTATTTGCCATGGCTATTGCAAAATACTTACTAGTCTCTGAACTTTGGCAGCTTACTCTTTAATGTTCTTCCTCATTCGGAGTTTTAAACAGATCATTGAATACAATTCTCTCAGAATACTTAATAATACCGATACGAAACCTTCCTCACAGACTTTCAAGAAGGAGTTAGAAACGGGAATCTTGGGCGACGTTCGACATGAAAAAAGGTAGGACATTATATTCATATGCTCAATGTAAAATAGAGCTATTAGTTATTCGTTGTGTGCAATCGTGAACCAGGATAATCGCGCACTTTAGCATTTGTTGAAAAATGAACTTCCTTTATGACTCCATTCAAGCAGTAAACTTTCAAACTTCTAACTCCTTTGAATATGTAAACTCATCTATTCCTCCATAGTCAAATATTTACCGAATCATTGTCACGTGCGTATAGTTAGATGATACACAGATTGAGCATTTCGCTCATGCGTTCGCGTAACAACTACACATGTACATAAACACGGCTAGTTCATATACAACGCAAGCAAATTGGAGAATCGCGTGATTAAGCACTTCTGATCTGTTCGTTTCGTGGTTCGTAGCTGTTGTAACGTCTGGAACCGGAAGGTGCTTGTGTCACCTCAAGAAGGGCCGAACGCTGGAGTCGAAACATCGGTACTGGTTAATAACCCGATTGACCAACATATTTGTATTGTAGACGAATAAACTGTATTTTTATACAGTTTAATCATGTGCAGACACATCAATAAATGAATGTCAGTAAATTTGTCATAAAATGACAATTCAACAGACCAATAGCTTAACGAAATCATACATCAGTATACGAGTAGGTCCACTAAATTAAAAACTAATTATTAATTACAGGGATTGATGAATTAAACACAAATACTTAATATTCTAAGCATGTTCATCAATTTCAAGACATGACACAAAATGGGACTTTCACCACTCAAACGAGTAATGTTCCAGATGAAGTGAAGTAATTCTAAGAGACCGCTCTGACACAATTCTTCCATCCGGTTCACGGAAAACTACCACTACAAATTTCTCGTTTCCGTGACAGCTGATGGGTACAAATTAAATGCAAGTCATCACTTTCACTTGTAATCTATTTCTGCTATTTACGTTTCAAGTTAGCAAAAACTGTAATACTTATGCTTCATTTAAGTTAAAATTTCGAATTTGTATTGCTTGGCATAAAATCTGTTTAATGTGAAACAATAAACTATATCACATGAATGTATCACAGCAGAGCAAGAAACAGTAACGTACAATCAGATATCCGAATCAAGGATATTGTAGACCAGGCCGATAGGAAAAAACGCCATGAAAGCTTTAAGCAAAAATCAAACGGCGTTCAAATCATCCACCAACGTCAAAATTTCACGACAGCGATAGAGACGGCTAGGCCATAACCGCTTCAGCGAACGAGCTGGAGTAGGGAAAGTATGTTTCAGGCTGTAATGGTATGGGTGAGTAAGTTTCCGTCCTCATCGCGACGTTGAACCGATTGAAGCGGACGAACGAGTCACATGGGGCCACAGAGTCAAAGATTCGGAAACGTATACATCCACAGTCTTCGAATTTCGATCAGCTTCTGGGCTGGTGTCATTTTCTTATCATAACACAATTTTACCCATTTATTGTAAGAAGAAAAAGCTGAACCAAACAACTGGAATACGAACTTTTCGCAAAATACCTAAAAGTACAGTAAAGCAAAAAATTTGACAATGTGTGAAAGACTGACATCATATGACAAGCATATTTCATTCAGAGAAATGATCCCCAGATTTGCAAGTATGGATAAAAACTAGCGATGGTATGGGCATGTGCTATGAATGCCTCCAGAAAGGGACACTAAGCAGTTGTTACGTGCAAAGGGACACTAAGCAGTTGTCTGTTCGTCCGACCGGCAGAAGGCCCAGGTAATGGCCAAGTTTAGCCTGGTGCAAATATATGGAAGGAGTGTGTTCCATACTCAAGATGTCTTCCCGAAGCACAGACTATGGCACAGAGTCAGGAATGTAGAAGCACTGTTTCGTTTGCCTCCGCGATCCGAAAGAAGAAGCGATCATGGAAGATGAAGATGGATAAAACCTCTGCCGCACCTCCACGGCTGACAACCTAAATTGTGAGAAACGTTAACTCTGTTTATTTTCTAATGTTACATGTTTGCTTTGCTGTTCTTAGACGTCAGTCTCTGTTGAAACCCATGGCACGATGACTGCTTTCAGTTAAGATGGACGGAAGGTTGCAAGCCATCAATCCTGATTTTACTCGCTTCGATTCTTAAACACATTTGCTTCAAGCGCAGAGGGTATACTGTCAACCAATATCTACTATTATTATGTCTTACTGTTCGCGACAAATCTTTACGGCTAGCGAAAATTAAAGTTCAAGGCATTTCTTCCTGACATATATGCTTAAATTGTGTGCATGAACAAAACTGTCCAACCTACATTTCAGTTACTGATAGCAGATTTACGCCTCGAAAACAAATCGCGTTGGTTTCTTGATTTCAGTCGCCCAAGGGGGCCTTGAAAGCAGGTCAGTGGTAATTCTGTCAGTCGTAAATCGCATTAAATGCAAGACCGCATCTCTGAGTTGGGCTGAATGAAGCCATGTTCGAGCACCAATAATATCTGCTACTACCTTTAGGCAAACATACAGACAAAATAAGGTAAAATATAATCCCCATTTTCTGAGACATCTTTTACGAATGACAGATTCCCAATAACGCCATTAAATATGACACTTCAATCACTGATACATCGGTGTAAAGCCGGTATGAGTAATTGAAATATAGTACCTATAGCGGCTCGAAAGCTGCCATTCGTGAATGCTATCGTAGAACATCAGGATTTTATCGTGTTTTGGTTACATTGTTCAACCTACAGCAGCCAAAAGCAGGTCTTCGCTGTAATGGAGAGGATTCCGAGGTGAAGATGGAGACGCGAAGGTTAGATTCGCGATTTTGAATAGGCTCTGGTTTAGAGGTTGTTGTTCTGACGGTGCTAGTCATAACACTGCTATTCGGCGAGGTAATGGGCAAAGCAGTACTAATCAGCCCTACATCTGCAGTCTCATGACAAAATTGAGACAAAGTTCAAGATATCTGTCGAAAAACCTCATGGACCAGAA